TTTTTGATTTTTCGAGACAGGGTTTCTCTGTAGCTTTTGGTTCCTGTCCTGGAACTAGCTCTTGTAGACCAGGCTGGCTTCGAACTCACAGAGATCCGCCTGCCTCTGCCTCCCGAGTGCTGGGATTAAAGGCATGCGCCACCACCGCCCGGCTATGCCCTTCGTTTTTATTTGGTGATTCTCGAGCTGCAGTGTGCATTAAAACAACCTCAGGAGTGTATTAAAAACGCCATGTCTCAGGCTCTGTTATGTCATCGGAGTAGGTGGGTCCTAAGAGTCTAATTCAGCAGTTGAAGAGGCTGGGATCTGATACAGGTGTTTTATTAACACTTTGAGAAATGTGATGTTGGTGACAAATTTGGACTTAAGATGAACTTGTGAGTTGGACTCCACACTCATATTAGGTGCATATTTACTTTCTTAAATTTGTCTGAGACTGGTGAGTCCCGATAGGGCCTTCAGTGATACTGTTCCATTGCCCAAGAGGCCGTTTTAAAGAGTCCTTGTTTTGGGCCAGCAAGATAACTCAGCTGGTAAATGTACCTGCTGCCAAGCCTGATTTCCTGAGTTGACCAGGAGAGAACCTACTCTTGAAAGTTGACCTTGGCTACCACACACACACAACACAACACACCACACACACCACAACACACCAAATATATATTTATTTTTGGTTTTTCCAAATGGGTTTCTCTTTGTAGCCCTGGCTGTCCTGGAACTCTCTCTGTTGACCAGGCTGGGCTCGAACTCACAGAAATCCACCTGCTTCTGCCTCTCAAGTTCTGGGATCAAAGGCATGCACCACCAATGCTGAATATGTGTATTTTTTTTAAGATTTTTTTTTCCTTCTTTGTCTTTTTGTTTTGTTTTCCAAGACAGCCCTGGCTGTGCTGGAACTCACTCTGTGGACCAGGCTGGCCTCTGCCTCCGAATGTTGGGATTAAAGGTGTGTACCACCACTGTCAGGGGAAAGTTCTTCTGTAACTCAGAATAAAAAGCACTAGGGTGGTACCTACCTTTTCTGATGAGCTTTGGCCACACCTGGAGACTTGTGACTAGAAGAGGATATGCCCTCCAGTCTTTGCAGCTACTTCCTCCATCTGAAGACCCTCCTGCAGCTTTAATTGAAAAGCCCTCTATTGCTGCTCTTATTTCAAATGACTGCTTCAGAGTTACTCCTTTACAAAAAAATCAGAATGGATTTACCTTAGATGGAGACTTTAAATTTTCAAGCATCTTGGTTGACTTGTTTTCTTTCAAGGCAAACCTAAGACACAGAAACACCTCTGTATTATTTTTGCTTAATTGGCTTTTCTGGTTGACTGCATTGTGATCTAACTTTTGCATATTTGAACTTTTTCACCCTTTGGAATGCACCCATCTCAATAAAATGCCAGAAGCTCACAGCTGACAGGATGGGGAACAATTTGATTTTGTTTTATACCATGCTTCCTAGTCATTGGGGGTGCGGCTGCACCAGGGTTCTAATCTCTGTGTCTACTTGAAGGATGCTGTTGTCCAGATAGTCTGGTAAAGGTGTTAGAAAGTAGAACCACTCTTTAAAGGACAGTTAGCTCCTTGTGCTAGTTGGAGCTTTTTGGTAAGGTCAAAGTCACTGGGGGCTGTCTCAGCTTTCTTTTGTGAGTGTTGATTTCTGATTAATAGGTGCTCAGAACATGGAGGAAAGGGACCCTCAATTCTTAACCTAACAAGCCCTTTGCAGTTTAATGCAGTGTATTTTAGCAACTGAAGATCAGGGACTAACTATACTTTGAAGTTGTTGGACTAAAAAGATGGCAACAATAATAAAAACAATTTTTAATATTTCTTTGTATGCTATTTGTCATAATATATAACACCATTTTTTTTTTTAATTCACTTTCAACTACAGAGAACTGGGAAGAACTCCAAAAGAACACTTCTTATTTTTGTTAGGTATAAATTCACTCAAGTCCGTGTATAGAACATAAAAGAGTTCCAGTATTTACAAGTTAAGTATGGATGGAAGGCCCGGGTGAGGCCCACCTGGGTGGTATGGGCCTGTAGTTCCAACCCTGAACGCCACTAGAAGGGTCACTGTCAGGAGGGTTTCTATTAAATTCAGGACCAGCCTTGGCTCCTAAGCAAGTTCCAGACCAGCCAGGTTTACTTAGCAAAACCCTGTCTCAGGCTGCTCCCCCATCAAAAGAAGAGCAGAAAGGAAACAAATATAGATGGAATTAGAGCTAGCAGCTCCAGCGCTCAGGAGGCTGAGATGGGAGGACTGTGAGCTCCTGTCCGCCTGGGCTGTGGTGTGCTGGTGATCGTTGTGGTACACTTGAAATGTTCTGGTTTTGAGAGTAGCTTCGCTTGCACAGAGAGAACTGTCAGAGAAGGTTCACTGATTCGACTCTCCCTTTGTAGTTCCAGCCATCTCACGTTGCTGTGCGGGAGAGACCCCTCATCTGTTGAGGGTTTTGTTTGTCATTTGTTTTCTTCTCTTCTGCTAGAGCATTCAGAAGCAATGAGATAAAGACTTTGAACCCTTTCAGGTGAGGCAGGGTAGAGTATTACAAAACAGAAGAAGGGAAAACATTTGTCTTATTTTATGATCCAGTGGAGGTCCTAGCTATTGCCGTTTTTCTTAAAGCTCTCCATTTTAAGAAGTGGGAATGACTCATGTATGTCTGGTTGGAATGCTGTCATCTGTGTTGCCTCCCTTCGCTCTTAACTGATCATAGCTGTGTTGTGTCACAGCTTCCTCATCTGGAGATGGGGGTTGTAGTGGACCTTACCTCTGGATTGTTGGGAGTTAGCACTGCACATATTCAGGGCAGCCTGCTGAGGTGCTGGTAAGCAGCAGCTGCCGTTTGTTTTTGATACAGTCTCACTGTTGTCTGGGCTAGTCTTACGCACCTCTGTTCAAGTGATCCCTCTGTCTCTATCTCAAGTGCTAGGATTACAGGTATGCACCTGGCCCCGCGTAGCCGTTATTAGATAGACACGCGAGTGCCTGGGACGTGCGGTCAGCATGCTACATATGGGGGCTAGGGTCAAGTAAAGAAATTTGGCTTACCTTGGATGAGTGGATACCAGTCCTTCTCTCTCCCTCTTAGAGTCTCAAGATGTAGCTCAGGCTGGCCTCAAACCTGTAACCCTGCCTCACCTCCCAAGTGCGGAGACTGTAGGCGTACGGCACTACTTTGGCTTACACTTTTCTCTTAAGAAAAAGTAATGATAATTGCCATCATTACAGAAAACTTCTGTGTGTGTGTTGGGGGGTGGAAGAAAAGAAGTTGGAGGCCTGAACGTGGTCCTCTGCAGAGGTATAATCTCAGCTAGAATTTATACACATAAACTGAGAGGAAAGCAGGAAGGTAGAGTGGCTAGATTATAGGCCTTTTAAATGAATTTTGCTTCTTAGGTTTTTATAGCTGTTTGCTTTTGTTATTTAATAGATGTGTTTCTCAGCATTCTTTGGCCTCTTTTTGTCACTTTTAGTATAGATGGGTTGCCAGAATTTTACAACTAAGCACCAACACTTACTGAAAACAGGCTCTGTCCTGCAAGTCTGCATCACAGAGTGTAGTCAGCTGTGACCCCAGCACTTGGAAGACTGAGGCAGGAGGATCTGGGATTCAAAATCAGTCTGAGCTATATTATACAGAGTTCCAGGCTAACCTCGGCTTCATAGTGAGACTCTATCTCAAAAGTCAAAGCAGCAAACAAAAAATGATCACTTTATCTCATTGTATGATGCAAGAGTGATAATGCCCACCGTACAAAGTTGTGACACTTAGAGACAGTGGACACTGCGGCTCAGGTGTAGATACTAATAGATGTGACTTTGCCCATGGGAGGATATGGTGAACAATGGATTAGCAAGTGGGCACATGGGCTTGGAGGGGAGGGGAGAGAAGGCAAGAAGACAGAAACATGAGGGTGGGACAAAGTACTGTACTGGAGCCAGGTCTCCACCCGGGTCTCCAGGCTTCAGGTCCAGTTCTTCTGTGGCTCCTTGTGCTTCCCTGACCTGGGTTAGGAATTCAAATGCACTCTTCGCAGAGTCTGTTACAAACGAGTCCTAATTTAGAACCATGATTTACTGTAGTAGGAAACCTTATCCCATTCAGTGAAGAAAATGTGACCCACCTTCAGGTCCTGGTTCCTACGCCCTGAGGCTCAGGGCTTTAGGGACCTTTGCTGATCAGAGACTGCTAGGAATTGGCCTCTCTGAGCATAATAGCTTTTGCACCCTTTCCTCTTCAGCCTGTCTTC